TGGTTTAATTGACAGTGGCTTATCAAGTTATGAATCGTCAGCAGGCTATGGTGCTGGTGGTAGTTATGCTGCACAAACATATCCAACGGATGCTCAAGGTCTTTATCTAGATCCAAACCCTCTAATCATTCGTCGTCAAATTGCACTAGGTGCTCAACCTTACAAACAAAACGTCACAGTTCGGTACCTTCAACCACCACCTGTTCCACCACCAGGCGTAAGTTACTTCTTCTTAGTATTTTTGTTTCTTTTATTAGTTAAAAAATTGTATTTTCTAGCCACTAATCATCAAAGAAGTGCGTCCACCTCAACCACCTGCTCCACCTCCACTTATCATCCGTCAACAAGCTCCTCCTCTTCCTACACCTTCTCCACTCGTTCTTCGTCAACGTCCACCAAATCCACCACCTGCAATCACTGCTCAAAACTTTATTCGTCGTTAGCCAGGTATACCCGTTCCAACACGATCAGGCATCATTGAACGTATACCATCTCTTGCACCTCGTCCTCGTGTGTAGTGCTTTTGTTCTCTTTTCATATGTTATATTCAATAAATCCCCGACTCACAATAAAAGATCGCGGGTCTTCTATCATGTTTCAGCACACAAATTTTTAAGAAGGGTCTTCTAATAAGTCTAGATACTTATATAGGACCAGATATATTTATTATAGTTTATTAAGATATAATTAAGTTAGCTCATCATGTTCATATTTCAGATACAAAGTACAACTACGAAAGCAAAATACAAAAACAATGAAAATAAACATGAACTAGAATTAAATTTCACGTTTTTTAAAACTAATCTAAGCTGAGCTGTTTCAATTTGTTGTTGTTGATGATGCTTAAAAATGACGGTTTTTATTTTTTTTCTTCGATCATCGTTTCTTTTGCGTTATATTCTACTCTCTCTTCATTATCATGAATTGTCGAAGAAGTTGCTGTTGATGCATCAAAAATAAATCCTTGTAAAGTTGGAATAGAAACAGGAGATTGATTCGCCGATACATAACTAATATCAGAAAAAGCACATTCAAAATCGACATTTCTTGGAGTTCAAATCCATGCTGTTCAAATTAACCGAATACATAAAATTCTTTGCTGTTTAGCTGTTAATTTAATTCTGTTGCGTGAACAATCATGATCAATCTATTCATCAGCAGCGGCTTCATAATTATTCTTGAACGTCGAAGATTTGGATGATCATCATATAAGGTAGTCATAATTCAAAATTTAAGGAAAATGTTTTTTTGATAATTTATATATCGTTAGATAAAGCTCATCAAATTGTATAAGAAAATATATTTTAAGTAATTTCTAGTTGTTTTATTTTCGAAAAAACAACAAAATACTTTGGTTACTTCAGTATAGATAAAAATGGCTCACTTTTGATAGATGATGTTTAACTTTCTCTTTATCCTACTTTAATCATTTTAAGAGTATTGTTTTCTTAATCAGTATTAAAAACTGAATATAACGCATTAATTTTGATCTTATTCAGTTGTATCATGATCAATTTTTTTTTCTTTATACATGAATGACCATACAAAGGTGTTAGTAGTGTATCTTGTAGACCCATCTAGTTTGTTTTGACCAAATTTGAAATCAAGTCATATACGTCATTTGAACTAATTTTGAAGGACCAGCGAACGTATGAATAGACTTTTTCTTTTTACTTCATTTTATCTGAAAAGAGCGACTTTTTTTCAAATATTTATCCAATAGACAAACTTCTTAGGGTATCCAAAAGTAGTGGCAACGACATTTTATTACCATATTTTAGGGTT